AGCTATTTTTATTTATACAATACTATATTATTTTGTAAAAATAAATTACATTAATTGTTTCTATTATTCCTATAGATTGCTCAACGCTTGTTTTCTGAGTATTATTTTCTTTACCTATAAAACTGTGTTTATAATTTGTTTTAGTCACACTATTGCATTAAAGGTATCATTTACCTCATGCTCTCAGGCAGTGGATAAAGCCTCAGTTTAGTTTGAGTTGGTAAAATGTGGAAGTATCTGCTTTACCATACCAGTTCACAATGAAAGCAGACTGTTACATGGTTTGATACTCTATGATCAGGCTGTACCATGGTACACCTGGCATGATAATCAATAGAGCATTTGTTAGTGTTTATGGTGCTTCGAGCATCCCTTTAAATATAGTTTATCTTAAAACAGCAATATAATCACCATACCCACTACAGCTCATTGTAATGCGTATGGGGCATTGAGATCATTACACCCTCCAGTCTTGGACAGTAATAATAGGATGCAAGTTCTGGGGGAGAGTTAACCCAGCATGGTTAGCTAATTCATTTTTACCGTCCAAAGAGTTTGATAGATAATGTAAATATGGGCCTTTCAGGTTATTACAGCTGCTGCAGAGGGGATAATGTTTTCAGTGGTCCTGGGTTTGATACAACTACTCCAAACAATTGTAGATTATGCTAGCTTTAGTGTACCTATAATCTTAATTTTATTAATGACAGGAGGCGAGTATTTGCTTAAGACTTTCTTTACTTAAGCTTCACAGCAGCACTTTTTCACATAGTAACAAGGTAACCAATAAGAAAAAAGGAATAACAAGGTATATAGGTCCCTCCCAGTGATGTCATTTCCTCTTTCTGGCTGCAAACAAATAGGAACCGGAACTGAAGGAAACTAGATGAGTGATTCAGGATGCCAGACTTGAAGAGTGATGCTTGAGAGGGAGACAGGAACGTAGACTTGAGAACGTGAGGAGCAGAGGAGAAGCTTGTGATGGAGCAGCAACTAGGCTGGATCTCTTAAGGGAGTGTTATGCTGAAACGAGAGAGCAGAGTCGAAGCCAAGGATTAATCCGTGAATTGGACTTTGAAATTATGATAACCAGTTGATATGAAAACATACATTATAGCTCGCTAGCAAAGTGAACCTATATATCATAGAAAAATAACTCCTAACCCCATGGTAGTAAGGCATAGTGTGTTCGTTCTTGTTTTAGAAACTTACCTACAGGGGCGACCCTAGGGTGGGAAAAAACGAAAGTAGGAGTGGTGGGAAATACTCGCCTCCTGTCATTAATAAAATTAAGATTATAGGTACACTAAAGCTAGCATAATCTACAATTTTATAACATGACAGGAGGCTTCGTATTTGCTGTTTTAACGCTCCCCGATAAGGGCCAAGGAAGCGTGCACAGCCGGACGAAAATAGAAGTTGCGGAACGTCTGTTCTCGGGACCAGTCTGCGGAGTGAAGTATGTCTCGAAGTGAGGCTCCAGCGCTGAATGCCCCCGATGCTGCCGCTCCTCTGATGGAGTGGGCTCCAAAGGAGGTTTCAATCCCGGCCAGGGAAAGCAACCACCTAACCCATCGGGCAAGAGTTGTGGTTGACACTGGATTATGAGGCCGGACGTATGAGACCAACAGCTGGCTGGAGGAAGTTGGACGGATAGGTGAGGTGAGTGATAAATAACGAGAAAGAAGAGATACCACACACAATTTCGGGTGGTTAGGGAAATAAGGGTAAAAGATCGAAGAGGAGTTTGATTTCGTCAGCCTGGTCACGGAAAAGGTGACACCCTCTGGGGAGAAGTTGATAGCGTCATGGTCAAAGTCCCGAACATCCGAAACTCTTCGGAAGGACACTAAGCAAAGTAACAGGATGAATTTGGCTGAGAGTTGGCGGAGGGATAGATCCTCGTTGTTTGGCCAAATCTCGAGAAAATGAATTATGACATTAACGTCCCACAGATGGGAGTATTTCGGTTTAGGGGGGCGAGCCAGCTTGATGCCCCGCAATAGTCTACAAACCAGGTGGTCCTGGCCCACTGGAACCCCTTCTAGAGGGACATGGGCAGCCGAGATGGCTGAACGGGAAACGTTGATGGATCTGTAGGAAAGGCCTAGGTCGAAAAGATGAGAGAGAAAATTCAATATGAACTGTCGAGGGGCCGTAAGGGGATCGGTATCCCGTTCCAGGCACCAATTGCACCAAGTGTTCCAGGAGGAGAGATAGCATCTTCTAGTTCCAGGAGCCCACGAATCCCAGAGGAGTTCCTTAGATCTCTGCGATAGTCCTCCGAAGTGCCAGGTTCCCCTGAAATAGTCCAAGCCACTAGGTGGAGGTGGTCTTGCGTTATCATTGGATGTGGATTTCCTTGAGGGTCCTCCAGGAGGATGGGCCATGGAGGCAGAAGGAGAGGGTCTTGGCAGGAGAGGTCCAGAAGATCCGGAAACCATGCTTGGCCCCGCCAGAGCGGGGTAATTAAAACAAGTGTGATCCGTTGTCTGCGAATCTGCAGGAGGACTCTGGGAATCATCGCAAACGGAGGGAAAGCATAGGCTCCCGTCGTCGGCCAACTCTGAAGGAAGGCGTCCACAGCCGAGCATTCTGGGTCTGGAAGCCAGCTGAAAAACCGTGGGACTTGAAAGTTCGTCCGGGAGGCGAAAAGGTCTAAGGTAAATGGACCCCTGAGTTTGGAGATGTGGAGAAAGATCGTTCTGTGTAGGCGCCAGGCGCTGCCATCTCTCCAATGTCGGGAGAACCAATCCGCGGTAATATTCGTTTCCCCTGGGAGATATTCTGCCCGAAGAGTGATGTTGCGTTGGAAGCAAAACTCGTAGATGTCTTTTGTCACTTCGGAGAGGATGCGAGATCTGGCCCCGCCCAATTTGTTGATGTATTGGACGGCAGAGATATTGTCCATCTGAAGGAGAATACAGCAGTTTGAGAGATGATTGGTCAAACTGCGAATAGCGAATGAGCCTGCGATTAACTCCAGACAATTGATGTGGAGGAGGTGTTCTGAGGTGGTCCATGGTCCTCCGGTGGAGGTTGTCTGACAGGTTGCGCCCCAACCCTGGAGGCTCGCATCTGATTCCACCACGAAGTCTGGGGCGGGACCGAAAATAGCTTTGCCGTTCCAGGCCGACATGTGGTGGAGCCACCAACGGAGTTCCTCTTTCACCTCTGAAGTGATCGGGACCCTCTGGTCGTATGATGGATGGGACCGGAGGAATTGAGCTTTCAAGCGTTGCATGGCCCGGTAGTGAAGGGGGCCTGGGTAGATTGCCTGAATGGAGGCCGAGAGTAGGCCTACTACCCGAGCTAATCCTCGAAGAGGTAAATCCTGTTGACGAAGCGTTTTGCGTAGTTCCTTCTTGATCGCGGATAACTTGGACTGAGGTAGGCGAAGAACACAGGTTGAAGAGTCGATTTCGAATCCGAGAAATTGAATGACTCTGGTTGGGGACAGTGCCGATTTCTCTTGGTTGATGACGATTAATGCAGAAGTATAGTTCGTCTGTGAACGCAGTTTGGATACGTCTTCGCAGAGAAGCAAGAGGTCGTCGAGGTAGATTAAACAACGGATGCCCCTTTCTCGCAGATGTGTGGTGACTGGCTTGAGGAGTTTGGTGAAGCACCACGGAGCGGAACTCAGGCCGAATGGAAGACAGGTGAATTGGAAAATTCGGTGGTGCCAATGAAAGCGGAGAAAATGCCGGCTTGAAGGGTGTACTGGCACCGAAAGGTAAGCGTCCTTGAGGTCGAGACGGGTGAACCAGTCGCCTGGTCGGAGGATGTCTCTGAGGAGGTGAATCCCTTCCATTTTGAAATGTCGATAAATAACGAAAGAGTTCAGTTGACGAAGGTTGATGACTGGGCGAAATTCCCCTGACTTCTTCTTGACTAAGAAGATGGAGCTGAGGAAACCTTTGTCGGGTGGAGCGAGTTGGATCGCTCCTTTTGTTAACAGAGAACGTAGTTCTGAATCTAGGTGAAGACTCTGAGCCCTTGACATTTTTGGATAGCGAGGATAACCTGTTTGAGAAGGGAGAGAATGAAACTCTATGTAGAAACCCTGAACTGTGTTTAGGACCCAGGTATCTGAAGACAGGGTCTTCGACATGTCTACACAGTGAGACAACCTGCCCGCATGATAAACAGTAGAAAGGTGAAAGGGAGGAAATCTCACCTGATGTGTATCTACTGCGTCCACGGGTTCTGTATCCTCTTCCTCTATCTGCCCTTTGGGAGTAAGAGCCTCTTGGTTGATAGTTGGGGAAGAAAGATGAAGTTGGGGTTCTCTGGCGCTGGTTTGTGGTCCAGAAACGGCTGACTGTGCGACCCCTTGTACGGCCAGCCCTGCCAAAAACCCGTGAGGGTTGATAATGAAATACTCTTTTCATTGATGATTGCACCTTGTTTAGTGTGGCATATAGGTTTACATGTTTATGTAATTCTTTAATGTAGGGTTCTCCAAACAATAGACCCTGTGCTTTGGGGCCCAATTCCTTGGTTCCCAAGTCAGCTAACTTAGCATCCATACGCAGCAGCACTGCTTTTCTACGCTCAGTAGGGATGTATTAGCATTGCCCAGCAGGCAAATAGAGCGTAGAGCCCATTCTCTGATCACAGATGGGTCTAGAGGGCCTTCATTAGATAAGGCTTCATCAGCCAGTAGAAGAATTTTTGCCAGAGGTCCTAGGATGTCCAGCATTTTGTCTTGAGTTAGGCGTAGGCTGCGTTCAATGCCCTTTTTTGGGTCACGGTCTGATCTAGCCAGATATGTGTAGAGCAGCGTATCAAATTCCGGGGTCACCGCGACCTTATCCGGTAGAGTGGGTCTGGGACATTCAGCTCGTAGTCGTTTGCGGACCTCCCGATCTAGGGGCCTTCTGATCCAAAAATGAATATTCTGGGAGAGATGGTCTGGTAGTGACCATTCGGATGAGCGAGGATATCTGATTTGTCTTGGGTCAAAAAGCGGTTGGCCAAGTGAATCCAGAAAAGGTTCAGTATCCCCAGATGGAAGTGATCCGGGTAACATAACTTCAGATGGGAGGTCTCCCATAGTCGACTGAGGGAGAGGTGGCCCTTTTATGGAAGTCTCGGGCCAGTCCTCCTCATCTTCTGAGGAGTGGTCAGCTTGCCATTCATCTAGGATGGCTAAGGGATGTAAGTCAAAAGAGTCTTCCTCTTCTTCTGACAGAGTAGGTTGGATGGAGTGTTTCTCTCTAGCATCCACCTGTTTAGGGCGTTTCGCCGGTTCTTTCCCCTTACGCTTGAGGGGTTCAGGCCCATTCCCTTTCCAATAACGTTTATATGGTTTGGAAGGGTTTCTTTTGGTGGAATCGGAATCCTCCGCCTCTTCGTCAGAAAGCGGGGTGTCGGAAATTTTAGGGTCTTTTGGCTCAATGGGCAGCACCCGAGCCAGGGCCTTTTCAAGTGAAGCAGCTACGGCTGCATTTATGATAGCTTGCAAGTTTTGATCTTGATTTGAAGCCTCCATAGCAACAGTTGGTACCTATGGGGCAGAATAGGCCAGTGTTAGAGTGTATTAATAAGGCCGTCTCGAGATATCACAGTATGTTATCATTTCAGATTGCAAGCTGTAAGTGGGGGTCACCCAGTATAAGTCACCTCAGGGAATACTTTTTCAAACCCGTATAGAGGTATAGTGGCACAGACAAAGCGGGCCAATCATGGGCTGTATATAATAACAGCAATCATAATTTAGTTTATGAGTTTACTTTATGCACATGCATAGTATAGAAGAGTTGTAATCATAAAGTTTATATGGGAAGAAAAACTGTTTAGGTAGTAAATTTGTTGCAGTTGAAATAAATAAATAAATAAATTGATTGGGACTAAATTATATGTAGTACCTATAATCTACCACCAGAGGGAAGTAGAGAGACACAGGGAAGAGAGACTGCATGTGGAGTCAAACTCCTTCTTTATTAGAGAAGGAGTAAGCAGGTAGAGAACCCTCTGGTGTAATTATTGAATATGAGGTGTTTATGTTGTACACAATATTTATTTAACTTTAAGCGGCAATGTAGAAAATGGCCGCCGCACGGCCGGAGTGAATGGAGATCGCGGCTCCAAGAAAATGGCCGCCGCGATCTCGCGCGTGCGCACTAGTGAGGGGAGGAAGCCGTTTGGATCTCGCGGGGAGCGCGAGATCCAAGATGGCCGCCGTGCGCACAGGGGACCGTTGGAGGCGTACTCCAAAGACCAAAAGCCCGGGAAAACGCGGCAAAAATGCCGCGCGGAGAAACTGGGTTAAAGAGGTACCATACCCAATAATACAATAATAATAAAACGGACAGTAACCAAAAAATAAAAGTGGAAAGAAGAAAGAAGTGGAGAAAATACACATAGAAGATAGTAGATGGGAAAAAAGTAAATCAAACAGATATAGAATAAAGGGTAAAAATTTACATATGAATAATATAGTAAATTAATATGAATAAAACAGATGATAGTTACAATAGTAGATAAATCCCAGAAAAAAATCCCCCACAAAAGTAGGAGACAGTGGCACTCTGACCTGTACTGGTGTGAAGCAGCAAAGAAAGAGAAAATGACATCACTGGGAGGGACCTATATACCTTGTTATTCCTTTTTTCTTATTGGTTACCTTGTTACTATGTGAAAAAGTGCTGCTGTGAAGCTTAAGTAAAGAAAGTCTTAAGCAAATACGAAGCCTCCTGTCATGTTATAAAATTAAAAAAAAATAAACAAAAAAAAAAATGGAGAAGGTTAAAAAGCACGTAAATGCTCATAGCACCATAATCACTACAACTAACCACTACAATCAGCTGAAGTTTGTTTGAATTTTTGTTTTTGTGCCTACCCAGACGGAGGTAACGAACCACTAAAGTCACTGTTAGTTATTTTGTCTTTTATTTTATTTTTTTGAAGCAATAAGGATCCTTGCTACTTGCACCTATTGTCATTTTTTGTTTTGTTTTTTGCAAGCATGGGTTTTTCTTTTTGGTGGTCCTCGTTGTGCTCAAGTACATCTACGATATAATACACACCTGCATAAGGATAGCCAGATTACTATGTTAGTTGGAATTATCGTGCTCATAAAAGGAATAGTAACCCAATTTTTGTCCAACAGTTCAGTTGATATACATGTTTCACTGCCCTCCAATTCACTTCACATCCCTTAGCAGCGACCAATACTCACCTACAGTTAATATATAGCACATAACCCTTTGAACCCCTGTTCAGTTTGCCCATATCATACATTGCCAAGTTCCCCACCACCCATTCATACGAACACAGAATTAATCACATTTCCCATCCACATTCTGACAGTTTGTTTCCCCAAGCTATATTCCATCACTCATCAATGTGACAGGTTAACCCCGAGCCCTATTTCCCCAATTAATACTTACATATTCCTCGCCGGTATATATCCTTCAGCCACATTCTTCCACATTAAACCTTACTCAGCCACACCAGTATATCTCCTTCACTCTCATCCCTTCATTGTATTTGTACATCTCGCTTTCTGAAAATACGTCCATACACCCTCTGTGCATCGCTCCACAGACCCCATGGTCACCAAAGTAGATCACCCAACTTGTCAACTAACACATCTCTTCAACACCATATGCCCCCCAAAAAGCAATCCTTTTAAGATTCTTTATTTGGAGTATTATTTGCAGAATTTAAAAAAGTAACTAAATGCACATTATAGTCACAAATAATATAAATCAAACAAAAGTTAACAGACACTATGAGATGATGTACACAGTAAAAATCATCTGAAACAACTGGGAGGTCCTGTTATACAACACTGTGAAAGTATTCCCTCTTAAACACCACTTGCAAAAATATTTTTACTTAACAATGCAAGATATTTGTTTAAAGTGGTATTGGTATTTGTGTTTTTAAGTAGGTTGAGCCAGACACAGGTCAAAGACAAACCATTTGCTTGCTTCCACATCTGCTTATCGTATAAACAGTTGCTACTGGCCCCTTTAGTGACAAAGTTATAGGATGAAGGTCAAGTTCAAACACAAGGAAAAGCTGTTTAATTTGTAAATATATCATGGAACAATTATGCAGTGTACTAAATAGATCACATTTAGCATTTTTTATATAGTCCTACTTCCAAAATCTTTTAAAGTAATGCAGGTGATTTTCTTTGTACTGATTCTAAAACATTTTGACATCTGTTTCCTTCAATCTAAAGGGATCCAAGTCACACCACGTGGAGTTTTATGTTACAATCAGTTAACGGTCTTCTGCTTTTGTTTTTATAATTAATCGACTAGTTCAGTTTCAAAGTTTTTAAAAATCCTATACATTCAAAAGCAAATGCGCTTAGTGTGAAGGCTTGATATAACGTGGGGGACATATACAGTTTAAAAAAAAAAACCATTAATGGTTATTTACTACAGTGAGAATTCAAGGTGAATTCAAAGTAAATTTCAAATATAGTAGCCAAGCTGAAATCAATGCTGTCTCCGATCATTTTTTCAGTTCAGCTACTTTGGCCTTACATAGGAAATTATTTTTGTTTTAACTTTAAATTCTTACTTTACTGACTAACCCTATAAGTAAATAAATCATGCACATTGTAAGGTAAAGAGCAAAAAAAGTTTTACTAAAAGGAGTTGTCAATGTTTTTTCTGGCAACATTGCATTATTATACCAAAATGTGATTTAGCAAGTGGTGCAGTATAGCAATGCCACCAGATAAAAGAGCCTCTGGATACAGCTAAACTCAATAGAAAACCATAATAACCATAACTCCTTAGGCCATTTAGTAGAAAATATTGTAGTTTCTGGGCATAAAGTATCCAATTTTCTGACATAAATGATATGCCTTAAGAACACCGTAAATTTGCATCATCATTTTAGTGTCACAGTTCACGGCAGTGCAATGTGCTCGCACAACGTGAGTTGAAAGGGGGAAAAGAAGTTTGAAAAAAAAAAAATAATCCATAAATGTACCTCTCACTATCACACAATGACCACATGAAATCAAATAACTTGGGAATCACTGAACTACACAATTAATGAAGGTGGGCTGCAAATGTCTGAGCCTTTCTGAATGTGACAGACCACCCTGTCACTATGGACTAGTACATGTCTCGCAGCCACAACTTTCTCCACAAGGAACTGTAATCACCCACCTGAACCCTTTCCTACCATGCCTCCCAGCTAAAACCACTGTACTAGCAATCCAGAGAGCTCTGGGAACCTGCAGGGAACTTGCATATGCATGGCACACCCAACCGTTAGCAGTGGCGTCTCCAGGATTCATATTTAGGAGGGGGCACATAATGGGCCAGGGACAAAAGTAGGGGGACAGTCATAAAACATGCATGTAGGTGTGTGTGTACATATATATACAGGGAGTGCAGAATTATTAGGCAAGTTGTATTTTTGAGGATTAATTTTATTATTGAACAACAACCATGTTCTCAATGAACCCAAAAAACTCATTAATATCAAAGCTGAATATTTTTGGAAGTAGTTTTTAGTTTGTTTTTAGTTTTAGCTATGTTAGGGGGATATCTGTGTGTGCAGGTGACTATTACTGTGCATAATTATTAGGCAACTTAACAAAAAACAAATATATACCCATTTCAATTATTTATTATTACCAGTGAAACCAATATAACATCTCAACATTCACAAATATACATTTCTGACATTCAAAACAAAACAAAAACAAATCAGTGACCAATATAGCCACCTTTCTTTGCAAGGACACTCAAAAGCCTGCCATCCATGGATTCTGTCAGTGTTTTGATCTGTTCACCATCAACATTGCGTGCAGCAGCAACCACAGCCTCCCAGACACTGTTCAGAGAGGTGTACTGTTTTCCCTCCTTGTAAATCTCACATTTGATGATGGACCACAGGTTCTCAATGGGGTTCAGATCAGGTGAACAAGGAGGCCATGTCATTAGATTTTCTTCTTTTATACCCTTTCTTGCCAGCCACGCTGTGGAGTACTTGGACGCGTGTGATGGAGCATTGTCCTGCATGAAAATCATGTTTTTCTTGAAGGATGCAGACTTCTTCCTGTACCACTGCTTGAAGAAGGTGTCTTCCAGGAACTGGCAGTAGGACTGGGAGTTGAGCTTGACTCCATCCTCAACCCGAAAAGGCCCCACAAGCTCATCTTTGATGATACCAGCCCAAACCAGTACTCCACCTCCACCTTGCTGGCGTCTGAGTCGGACTGGAGCTCTCTGCCCTTTACCAATCCAGCCACGGGCCCATCCATCTGGCCCATCAAGACTCACTCTCATTTCACCAGTCCATAAAACCTTAGAAAAATCAGTCTTGAGATATTTCTTGGCCCAGTCTTGACGTTTCAGCTTGTGTGTCTTGTTCAGTGGTGGTCGTCTTTCAGCCTTTCTTACCTTGGCCATGTCTCTGAGTATTGCACACCTTGTGCTTTTGGGCACTCCAGTGATGTTGCAGCTCTGAAATATGGCCAAACTGGTGGCAAGTGGCATCGTGGCAGCTGCA